TTATTGTAATTGCCAATTAAAATGAGCAACTAATGATAACAAGATTCACATAGTATTCATCTTGACTATTGGTGTGAATATTTCGTGGTATTCTATCCCATATTGTTACCAGTCTCGTTTTGTATCTCCTGATTGTACAATATGCTTTATATTGGATTGAGAAAATCCATTTACATTCCACTGGTTTCTTTCCTTTCGGTAGACCCGCCATTGTCCAAATCTGATTCTTTTTAAGTGGTTACATTTCTATATGGCTCAGATACTGTGCTAGGGATAATATTTAAACTAGTGAGAAAGTTTTATGGGTTGATGAACACTTATCAAATGACACAAAATTGTGAGACAAGATATAAAGAGTTTTTAGTGCATGCTTTTGTATCTTTACGAAATGCAATATGTATATCGTTATTTAATGACTATATAAGTCTTCTTGGACTTATCTTAATTTCAGGATCAAGGTTGGATTCTTGAATTGACTTTGGTTTAGTATTAGGCATCTTTGTCTTTGAATACACCTGAGAAAACTAAGAGCTTAATCTTTGAAGCGGATGGATTTTGAATATTTTCTTATGTGAATTTTATAGTGAATTCTGAATGTTATCTTGTGATGATAGTTTTGAGCTGTATGGCAAAAGTGATGGATTAAAATCTTTGAAAATTTGTTTTTTATCTTCTAATATAAGTTACTGCTGAAGATAAGATTGAGTGACGCAGGATTCTTGTTCAACAAATTTAAAGTTCACATACATATAGGATTTTTGAGTGGACGAACGGTAACATTTGTACCATTTTGAGAGGAATATCTCACAAATGCACATTTCAAGACCCGAAAATCAAGTTTTCCTTTTTGGTAGGAATGAATATGACAAAGACAACATATCCAAACATCCTTGGGACCAGATGGCTTGTGACACTTTTGAAGTCAAAAACACTTATGGGCTGATGATTAATAATGTAGGTGGCAATAAAGACAGCTTCGTCCCATATTATTTTAAGACATTGGCGAAAAGAAAAGCTATGTTGGTGGTTAAAAGGTGACTATTCTTGTATTCCACAATTCCGTTATGTCGTGAAATGTGGATGCAGGACGATTCATGAAGAATTCCTTTTTGATGAAAGAATGATGAAAGTGCTGTCACTACATAATTTTTTTTGAATATTCTAAATTAGGTATTTATCATATTGCAGAATTTGGGTATGATATGGTTAGCTTTGAAGTTGATTTTGAGTAAAAACAACCTTTAGTACAATCGTCAATAAATGAAACAAATAATTGAGTTCAGAATAATTAAGTGTACGAGATAATCTCCAAATAACACTGTGAATTAATAAAAATGGAAATGATCTAATTACTAATAAGAAATATTACACGCTTATATTTTGCAAATTCACAGATATTGCAGCGTAGATATTTTATATTGTGAAGTTTTAAACAATGAGAGAAACATAACCTTTAAAATTGAAAAGGATGAGTGCCTAAATCTCTTATGGTGGAGTCAAATCTTGTGTATGAAGTTGGTCATAACATCATAGAAGACTCTCTCAGGTGCATCTAAGTAGTAGTGTCTATGTTTAGCTTCAGGATGTCCAATTATTTTTGCCGACTTCTGGTCCTAAAAGTCAAGGTAGGAAGAGTTAAATGTTACTTTGTAGTTTAACTTTTATTATAATTTATTGATTGACATAATATTATCACATAATTTGAGAATATGTAACATATTTTTTAGGATAATGATAAAACTAAACTTAATGTTCTCCTTACCTGCAATGATATTTAAGAAACCATCTTCAGAGACAATTTTCTTATTACTTGAATATGAAACATCTATATGAAAAAATTTAGAAGTATTGGTCATATGACCGATGACTCCTGAGTCTATAATTCAGGAATTTTCAAAGGGTTTATCCGAGATATATCAAACTTGGTGAAGAAGAAAGTATACCTAAGTGTTTTATTATACTTTTACCTGTAGCCTTCTTGAAGTTCTCCAATCGACTTTGCAGTTGTTCAGTCTCAACCTTGAAAGCAGTGAGATCAGTATGTACTTTTCTTTTTTTTTTCCACGCTCATTAGCTACGGAAACCTACTCAGGAATCTTTAGTGAGGTATTTTTGTATCTTAGTCTTTGTTGGAGATACTTAGTTTGTCATGTAGTTTCCAATGCTTGTATTTGATGTGTCTGAGCTTTTTACAAATGGTAAACTAAAAATTATCCCTGCTATATGCTCCTGGAGTTATATTCTCAAGTGACTTACTTTTTTTGATTGTTGACAATGTTTGGAACCTTGTGAGATTAGAATTGAACTGAGCGGAGTGATATTCTAGCATGATTTTTCTACAATTCTCTTTCGATATTACGATGGAAATTACTTCATCGAGTGATGATATTTTCTTTTTTCCTCAAGTAGTCACGTGCTCCAAGATGTTGGAGGTAACATATCAAAATACTGGAGCATATTCCCACGTGAAAAATTCTAGACACAAATCTCAACCAATTCAAGCGACCTATAGTGCATAGGAAAAGATTATCTCAACTAGTTTTAATTGACTCAAACCACCCCAAAGGGACAAGGGAAGCTCAACCACCTTCTAACCACCAGATTGAAACCTAGAGACCTTGCATTTGATACCAGGGATGAAAAAGATTTTATGATCATAACATGGCTATGGAATTCCATGGTTCCAAAAATAAACAAAATTTTAATATTCCTTCCACAATAAATGTAGTGCGGGATGCAATCGACAAAACCTACTCCAAAATCAAGGACGCCACACAAACTCATTGCCTGACGGGCTATGAGACAAGAACACAAGTGCGGGATGCAATCGACAAAACCTACTCCAAAATCAAGGACGCCACACAAACTCATTGCCTGACGGGCTATGAGACAAGAACACAAGTCAATAATTGAACACGTTAAAAAACTGGTGGCCGAAAGCTGACCAACACCACAACTAACCATCGTGAAGGCCACATAAGAACCAGATGGATCTAGAAGGGTCATAGGAACATGC